GTGTGTGTGTGTGTGTGTGTGTGTGTGTGTGTGTGTGTGTGTGTGTGGACAACGAAATGTTTCCTTTCTTCTGCTTCTATTTCTCGTTTGCCATCCAGGTAGATGAACTGAGGTAAAACAAAGCACACACACAAACGCAAAAAAACGATTGTAGTAAAAATAAGAACTGACCCAGTGATCGTTAAATCGTTGGTTTTCCCTTTTTCTCTCTCCCACTCTCCCTCTGATTTTTTTCTTCTTCTTCGCCGTAGTTATCATTGTGATGGCCTTTGATTTTGCTGTTAGAACATTTTATGACTGTGCAAACCATTCGGATTTGCTTTTCATCATATCGAATCTCGACTGTGTCTTGGCTATTTTATGATTTCTCATGAATGTGGTATTCTTTTTTAATTTGTTTTGCTCATCATGTTTTTCCTCTTATTTTACAGCTAATCACACGTGAGCAGTTCGAGGATGCACTGAAGGAAATCCAAGATGAAGGGATGATTGTTGTCATGGGTAACAATACGATTCGAATATGCTGAAACAGAGAGCACAGCATCGAACACCCACATACATACTCACAACACAACTTCACGTACAACAACACATCTAAAACTTTCATTTCCGTTTACTTCATTTTTGGACCCATATTTAATATCTCAATTTATCGTTAATAGTTTGCACCTTACGATGGAAAGGTTGCATGTTAATTTTTTTTCTAGTTTAAGTTTTTGAATTGATTTCCATTTTTTATTACGTACAAAAACCCTTTGAATACATGCCAACAATATGCATACCATTTGTTTTTTAATCAATTAAAAAAAGAACAGATTTTGATGACATAAGTCATGATGCAACTGTGACTTTTCATTTGTGTTGCAATACCATTTAGCTGAAATATTTCAGCTCTGCCATAATTTAAAAGAATGTTCAAGGCACGAGAGACACTGTGAGAGACGGACAGGGTTAATGAGAATAGATGAAAAATCGCTGATGTTCGCGTAGGTTTTTTGCAATTCACCAATTCATCAATAGCATTCGTATTTAGTTATTCTTCATCGGATACATTTTAGTTTGGTTCTTCGTGCATATGTCAATCGGCAGGCTCAGGCAACACAACGGTTTCATGTTTTTTTTCATATTCACCATTTTCAATGTGTGTGCATGGGTATGGTTGTTCGGTTCTAGGGTTTAGATCCCTTCAATTTTCCATGCAGATTTTTTTTTCGGTGGAACATTTTCTCTTCTTTTTCTTCCTGTGTGTGTCTCTTCTATTGTAGCCCATGCTTTTCGGTGTGTATTGCACACACACACTGCATCTCGCTTCCCCCTCCTCTCTTTCTCTTTCTCGGTTTCCTTTTTTTCAGTTGCCGCTCGACACACACTTGTGCAACTGTATTGGTGCAGCGCACATTTCTTCTCTGTGTACAACAACAGTTTCATTTCAATATATTCTGTATATAGAGTCTATGCACTTGGAACCATTTAGTTAGTTTAGTTCTGAAAATCTTATAGTACGATTGTTACCAATGTCATACAGCTATCATGTAAGTATTTTAAACTTTCTCAATTCCGGCTTCTGACTTTTTTGTTGTTGTATAGACCAAGCCCATCGAACAATAATTATTCTGATCTAAACTAGCGAAAAAAAATGTCGCGCTAAATAATTAATTTTTTCGTCGCACTATTGGTCTGTTATATTGGGTGAGTTTGCGCCTGCACTCCAATCGAAGAGACTAGAAAATTCAAGTGACATAACGAAATATCCTACCGACCCGACCGATTCGGATTGTAATCCGCTGTGTTGCCACCAAAAATGCAGTTGAGCGCGCATTCGGTTTGGCTTGATGTATGGCACAAGAGGGAAACATGTGGAACCACATGGCTCAACATCGAATGCGCAATCGAATTGTTTGTGTGAGAACACTTTTCCATGCTTGAAATTGTTACTTTTATCCTAACCTTTGTCAAATGGAATCAAAATTAGCAAAATTTTGTTTCAACACATAAAACTGATCTTTCATCCCATGAACTTAGTTTCTCGCTTTCGCTTTCGCCATGCTTCACAGTAAGATTTTATTTCGCTTTTCGCTCATATCATCGTGACGATGATTCTTCTTTCTTCTGTTATTTTTTGCTCTCGCCAAAAACGGAAAACTTATGCGGTGTCGCCTCATACACAAACCAAACAGCGTAAGCGTTAAACTGAGATGATGGGATAGCAAAGGTGAGAGTGAGCGAATGAGTGAGTGAGTGCGTGCATGCATGCATATGCAATCGACTATCGAATTCATTTGCGAGATAAAGATACAGATTACGGAGAGTAAAAGCCGCACCAGACAGCAAAATATTGAATGTTGTTTTTGTTGTTTTTTTTATTCAGGTCTATAAATTATTATCAGAACTTCTGATTCAGAAGGAAATATCAAGAGTTGAGGGAGAGGTGAAAGCATTGATAGCGGACAACACAACAAAATTGGTCCAAATCGAAGAGGAACTAAAAAAAATTAATAAAAATATACGTGATTTGATTAGGCAACAAGAAGCATTCCTTAAGGAACAAAGAACCTTAAATTCAACTATATTTGCTTTGATTGAGCAAATACGAAACAAGTAATTTTCTGAGTATATTAATTTAGTGTGTAGCTTTTCGTACTTAAGTGAGAATATTTTGTTCTTTTGTTTTTATTTTTGTAATTATTATTTTTCATTGTAGTACCCAGGTGAACGCGATAGGCTTTGATGAAAGCCTACATTCGTCGGTGAGGCTTTCATAATTTTTATTTACATTTTAAATACTGAACGCCTAGGCTTTCATTGCTACGAATGCACGAAATAAGTGAGAATAGCAAAGCCAATCGCGTTCACCTGGGTACTTCTCAATCAAACAATCAATCATTTTCAATCAATAATTTTCGTTCAATCAACCAACCACTTATCAGGCGAAAATCATGTTACGGCTAAATCAAATTTTCAAAATTCTTCAGGTTGATATTGCCGCTGGCCAAACACCGCATAACGTGTTGCTGTTTGCATACAATGATCTGTGCGATGAAGTACAAGCCGATGATCGTATCACAGTTACTGGCATCTATCGAGCTATTCCGATTCAGGAGAATCCACGCGCACGTAACGTTGAGACTCTTGGGGTTGCACCATACATCTATGAAAACACCGACATTAAGTATGGTATCCTATTGCAATTGTTCGGCGGCACTAAGAAGACACACGCTTCATTGGGTCGCCAAAACTTCCGTTCCGAGCTGCATCCCAAGTGGACGCTGAACTCCTTTCCACTCTCTTTCTACTCCATTTACAAACCTTTGTGTATAATAAATAGGGAAAGGAGTAACGACTCCCTTTTTGTCTCATCTTCTTCTTCTTCTTCTTTTAAGATGTTGTGTGCTCACAGCGCATAATAATCAGAATATAGGAAGAAGCAGAAAAAGAAGAAAAAGAAGAAGAAGATGAGACAAAAAGGGAGTCGTTACTCCTTTCCCTATTTATTATACACAAAGGTGTGTAAATGGAGTAGAAAGAGAGTGGAAAGGAGTTCAGTGTCCACTTGGGATTTGTTGCTGTGCGGTGATCCTGGTACATCGAAATCCCAGCTACTTCAATACGTCTACAATTTGGTTCCGCGTTTGCAGTACACTTCGGGCCATGGCTCATCGGCGGTCGGTTTGACTGCTTATGTCACCAAAGATCCAGAAACGCGTCAACTGGTTTTGCAAACGTAATTATTTGTCTCGTCATTTAATCTGGTTTTAGCTTTTGATTTCTTATTTTCAAACATTTGCAATTTTGTGCAACAAGCGCACGGTTTTTGCTTACTTTTTTGGAATAGAAAAAGATGCTATTGACTGGCTTGAACAAAAGTTAGCTGTTTGTAGGAAAAAAACTTAGGAATTGTGAATGGTTCTCATGTAAGCCCTCTCTATCTTTTCATTCACAGTGGTGCCCTGGTATTGTCTGACAATGGTATTTGCTGCATTGATGAGTTCGATAAAATGAATGACTCAACGCGTAGTGTTTTGCACGAAGTGATGGAGCAACAAACATTAAGTATTGCCAAAGCCGGTATCATTTGTCAATTGAATGCTCGAACGTCGATTTTGGCCGCTGCCAATCCATCGGAATCACAATGGAACAAGAACAAAAACATCATTGACAACGTTCAATTGCCACATACGTTGCTGTCGCGTTTTGATTTAATTTTCTTGATTTTGGATCCACAAGACGAGGTGTTCGATCGTCGTTTGGCATCACATTTGGTGTCATTATACTATGCCACACCACAAGATGAAGAAGACACATTGTTTGTAAGTACACCTACACATTCAATCGATGTTGAACGTTTTGTCTCTTGTTCAACTGCGTTGTTCGACCATGTTCATGGTTCAATTGAATCAACGTGTTTCATGTGCAACAGGTTTAAAACAAACGATGTCTCTCTCTCCCTCTTTCTCGTTATTCCAATAGGATATGAGTGTATTGCGTGACTACTTGGCATATGCAAAGGAACATGTTCATCCAACATTATCGGACGATGCACAACAGCGTTTGATTCAAGCATACGTTGATATGCGAAAAGTTGGCGCTGGACGTGGTCAGATATCCGCATACCCACGTCAATTAGAGAGTTTGATTCGTTTGGCCGAGGCTCATGCTAAAGTTCGTCTCAGCAATGTCGTCCAAATCGAAGATGTTGAAGAAGCATGGCGGTAAGATTGCAACCAATTTCATTCCGTTTTACATTTGATTTCGCTTCATTACGTTTTTATTCCGCTTGTGAATGGACAATGCAAATGGAAACAATCAAAATGAAATCAAATGTAACTAATGTATCAATTTGTAAAATCAAAATAGATGCGCATAAATGAACAAACAAAAAAATCCATCCATTCCATAGGTTGCATCGTGAGGCATTGAAACAATCGGCCACGGATCCGTTGTCGGGTAAAATCGATGTTGGTATCCTAACGACCGGTTTATCGACAACGGCACGGAAGAAGCGAGCCGATTTGGTGGCAAATATCATGGATATGCTGAAGAAGAAAGGCAAACTGCTAACAGTATCATGGAACAAATTGTTTGTCGAATTGAAAGAAAACTCATAGATTGTGAGTCGAACGAAAAAAGTTTCCTTTTTCTCTGTGTCATAAAATCATTTCATGTTTTCAGTTGTTGTTTCTTATTTTTCCTGGTACGGTCTAACACTTATTCAACATTCGACACGGTTCAAATGCCATTTAACCGACAAAGACAGCAGCAAAAGCAATACACAGAGCATAGTACTATCACCAAAAATCCATGCAAAACGACACACAATAAACCAAATCTCAGCACTTTTTTTTGATTATTTTATGCTTTTTGCCCCTTCGTTTTCTACGTTCTCTGCCATTTTTTTTCATCGTGTGGATGTATGGTGTGTGTGTTGAAGCAACTGAAACTTGTTGTTTTGTGCAGAGTTTCGCATAAGCCTGTTTATGCACATATAATTCCATTCGAGCATGGCTTTGTGTACCAAGCAATTTTCCATGTTTGGATGATTTGCTCCAATATCTGTATGCTGGGTGTGTGTGTGTGTGTGTGTGTGTGTGTGTGTGTGTGTGTGTGTGTG